CATTCATTCATACAATATCAACAGTTATGGCAGCAAACAGATAAAAGCAAACCTGTAATACGAGAACAGGCACACCAGACTGAAGATAGGTTCGTAGTTCGAGTAATGAGCAAAGATCACCACCACAGAAGAACGCAATTGGAATGGGGTGTTGTTCAACTGCTGGAGGAGGTAGGAGAACGGTTTGGGTCGATGCACATGCACTTACACTACCGTCGGGAACACCGATCAGCAATGCTGAAAACCTCTTCGAATTCGGATATTCCACGCAATGCATTCAATCAATGGCCGGAATTAGTGTTCGTCGGCAGACGACGTCCCTTTCGCGACGAACACTAATTGCATAAAAAACGTTTTTGTTGCATAAAAATGCTTTTATGTGCCACGAATTTTGAATACTTTGCTGGTGAGGCGAAAATGGGTTTTTTTATTTCAGGGGCTTGCTTTTATTCGTACCAGCGCACCGGCATTCATCGGTATATTTCAAACTGATCCACTCGCATCAAACTGCAGTTTATGTCCAGACGTAGGCCCACGCTTACGCTCAGACTTGGGCTTAAGCTTAAACGCACACTTGGAGATTACAAGAGAGAAGAAACAAATCCGTATTATTCACGTTGCTGTTCGTACCGATGGGCACAGCAGTTAACGTATTTACATTAACTGTAATGCGTTGTCAGAGCTTGATTCACTTGAATTACTTATTATCTGCAAGAAGACATTGTCTCTTCTCCTTTTACGCATCTCCCGAATGTCATTCTTACGTTCTCTATCCTTTCACACATGCATCAAATGTTCCATTCTTTGCGGATCTTCACAAATTTCGACTCATGCGGACGGAAATTCATGTGATATACTTGTGTGATACTTAATAAAACAATTGTGACTGAACGATAAGAAATGGTGAAATGCCAAAATGACAACTGACAAGGAGGTGGTGTGGCCAGTCGTATGGCAGTGATTGCACGGAATAAGGCCACATCATGCTCAGACGGCTCGGAATTCATCCACAACATGCACAGTGTATTGTAACGAACATCCACCATCCGTTTACAATTATTCAAATCGCTCGCCACCACACTCGTATCGTTTATTGCAAACACCAGTGTTTCCACATTTGATTCCCGCTATAAATTCATGCAAATGTCATCATGCAAAAGAATTGCACTGAATGAACGAATCACTGAAACTCTTCATCATAAATTGAGAGGTTCGAGTTCAATAAATGATTCGAAATGCAACATTTCATGGAATATCTTTTAGATGCAGCGATTGAAACTGCTTTATTGACTGTCAAAAATAATAAAGACCTACAGCTGGCAATTCAATTTGGAGAATTTTTGATGTTATCCGGGCCAATGGATCAGAAGCTTCGCCAGAAGTCACAATCCACATATTACAACCATCGATCAATCGTGAGAGTGCCTTCTTAACTTTCTGTTCACACTGAATACAACGATAACTATCAGTAATTTATCTTTATTTGAATAACTAATGAGAAGAACATCAAATATTGCCCCTTGAATATTGCCCTTTGAGCAGTCAGATATCTTTCTGAATGCCAGTTCTCTTTTCGTTCTGTCTCAAAACAACAACCGCAAACTGTATATTGCATCTGTATATTTCAATGCATTCTCACTCACGATTCAAAATCAAACGCAATTCGCTCGACAGCAGTTATTGAGAATAATTATTCCCATTATGGTTGACTGAATGAGAAATGGTTGATTATTTTCATCACACGAACAAATCATCAAAAAATGAACACAGCCTGTCTGCCCACACCCGACCCTTTGGATTTGGGACCCGTTCAGATACGAAAAATCGTTTGGTAAGTCGAAGTTTATGAAACCTATTCATACATAGCGTTTTGATCAGGTTGAAGGACGACCATTTGATTTTTCATCCAAATACCTAGATAATAGGCGTTTTAAAAAAGTATTCTCCAATTGTTTCTGCCTTCTTCGCTAACAATTCTTCGCAATGCTGTTTGGGTTCGAAAGATTTTCCAAGTTATTGGAAGCTTTTGCCCAATCACATAAGACTGTGCGAAGACATTTTTACTGTTTTTTCAAAATGATTTAGTGAGGTTTTTCAGAGTATCATGCAATAAAGAGACTTCTCTCATCACCGCTGAATGCTTGATTCTTGTATAAGTTTTTGCAGTTATTATGTCGCTTTGTTTAAGAGATTTCCCTATATTAGCGTTAACAGCAATCATTGACTAATTGTCATATTCGTATTCTATGAAGTTCGTAAAATTTTATTGCCAGTCGAGTTCAGCCGAAAAATCATTAGGTTCAGCGGAATATGAATGAAAGAAATTATAGTTTTTTCTCGTAAAATCAGACCGCTCACAATCAGGCCATCTTCTCTTTTTTNTTTTTTGCCCGCATTGAATGTGAACGGATTGCGCAATTTTTGAGTACAACCACTCACTGCACACAATTCCCTCATTAGTCAACGGCTCGGATGTTGGAAGAATTGGATCGGTCGGGATAGACTACTGTAATCATCTGCCATTTACGAATGAACAATAGATAAGATGAATACTTGTCGATGAAACGAGTTTCCGGTAGCAATCAGTGATAAGATGAGTTGAGGCATTCCTTCGTCGATTTGTGATGCATACGCAGCAATACGACTGTAGACGTACTTGACCGCATTTGGTATCGCAAGCTGAGATGCCAGCAGCACAGCGGGACACGTCTGAATAGTTGGTGCTGAGGCGAATCGCTGATCTGAACCGATTTCTGACGAGTTGCTCCATTCATTCTCAACCAATATGCTGACCGTTTCAGGTGTTACCGAATTCATACGTCTTGAATATTCATTCTCCATCCAGTGATCTTCTGCTCTGTTTGATTCACTTTTTCGATCTGGATTTCAAAAACCTAAAATTTCGAGAGGATAGTGTTTGTCAGCTAAAATCATCAAACATCATCGCACTGGCTGGCGTGGAAACAGCAACAAAAACAAAAAATGCTCACTTTCAAAGCATAAATAATAAAGATACCGAAATCATACCAAATTTCCGACATATGAGTGGTACTTACCGAAAGCACACATTGCCGCATGTATTCATTGCAGCATATATTTATTGCAGTTCAGCGATAGTGCATACGAAAGAGGTGGGTAAATATAAGGGCGAAACGTACGAGTGCAATGTAAAGCGAATGCGAAGTGATCGCTAATCACTGAGAACGCATCGTTGAGAACAGTCTGTCAGTGCAAAAAAACGAGACTCTAAAAATGTAGTGACTCATCCAGAAATGTAAATATGCACTCCGAGTGTGTCTCAATATAATACTACTAAAATCATTTATGAGCTAATGCAAGTGAAACGACGTTCATTTTTTAGAATGGAGCCTGAGCAAGATTTTACGAGAACAGGAAAGAGATGTGGAAGGATTCAATGAAGACACTCTGATGTATGCAGCGTTCACCACGCTTAACTGGACACGGAAATTATGATCGGAAATGATGATGGAGTGTGGCGACACGTTGGCTGGACTAAAGTAAATGATTGAGAGCAAGATTTTTATGGTAGAAATTGGTACGGAGCTATTGCAGTGTACATCAATCATGACTGGTCCAATACCGCTGCGTGTGCAACACCAATTTGTTCGTTCTCTTGATGAACCTTCATCAGGGTTTCGGGAATTACCGCAGCAACAGTGGCACGCAGAGGAAGACGAACGAATTGGATGGGTTCAATACCGCAAATGAAGATGAGAACTTGCACGGCACGATAGGCCTCAATAAAATATTCAAAGGTATTCAACTTGGGTGAAACACTTGGAATAAAATTATGATCATTCAAGATGGATTCGATTAGCACAGGTATAGTGTAGGATCTGCGTTGAATGGAGTGAACAAAAGGATAGTGTCTATTTGTTTGAGCTGTGCAAAAAGCTTTAGAAGGTATGAAAAATGTTATGGACAGAATGAGTATGGTAGTTAATCGAATGGACTTAGTTGAGAGGACGCAGTAATGCGATATATCATGCAAAGCGACATTCACAGCTTTAGTGCAACTCTATGATTTGGAGACGTGTAATCACCATGCCATGATCGATAGGATACTTGGAATCTAAATATAATGCAACAGAGGGATTTTGAAACGAATGCGATTAATTTCTTTGAATCATATGTTGCAAATCAAACACTTTCATAAAATCATACTAAACCAAGACTTCAACAGGCTAATTTTGCTCTGATATTCCTGAAGTATTTGTAACCTTATTCGAACGAAAGTGGATCGGACGGAAAGAAATCGGTTGTTCCCAAAAAGAAACACCGTGAAACTGGAGAGAAATCGGATAAATATGTGGGGATGGTTTTTGAAACGTTTCATTTACGATACGGTTATTTGGAGCGACACTGATGCGGTTAAGTCTCGATGGAAAACGTTCAAGATGCTCCTTGATTGCATTTGCCTCTTCGGTCATGTAAAATACATATAATATCGAACTCTCCGATATTATATGCAAAAATGTACGACTTTTCACTTCCGTAGACTGCAAACAATTGACAAGTGAAGTGAATGATAAGAAGAAAAGCAAATCCAATGTGACCTTAAAGTTGCGCTTTAATAATGCGCAAAGAGAAGTGCACATAAATATCGCCATCTTCATGACAATTTCCATTATCATTGTCAAAAGTATAACACACCGCAAACAATATACGGTAAACGATCGTATTCATGTAAAACTATTCAGTTTGTACTTCAACTGCATCACCACTCAAATCCGTCACTAATTAAACGTCATAAGTTTGACAGTAGCAAATCACGCAGTAGAGTACAACCCTTCATTGAACGATCCTCTCAATAAAGACCATCTAATCGTAAGCGAATGAAAACAAAAAGAAACGGAAGTGTGCTTGCACGAAGATTAATCGCTGTGAAAAGTTGTGAGAAGAATAAGAGTAATGATACTATGAATGAATCAGAATTCATATGGAATATTAAACATAAATCAAATAATTTATTCAATAAAACAAGTTATTAAGACATATTCGCTATCGTTGATGTGCATCCTCTCAAAACACACCGAGTCTTCAAACAACACTTTTCAATACACACATCAATCTCGAATGTTCTTTAGTCTATTTGATATCGACATGTGGCCGTTTTTTATGTGATTAGTACTTTCATAAGAATTATCATTTCAAGCAATCATCTTCAGTCTCTCATATAATAGGCACAAAAATTTATCTATCCGGTGATTAAATTAAAGAATTTCACAATCGGCTTAATAAATTCTTGCGTCGCTTCATAATAAATTCTTATTACTATTTTACAATTCGGATTATTGTTATTACGGTTATTATTCAGTATTACTAACAATACGTGTAAAGTACAATATTTTTAAGGAGGAGATTATCAATGATACTGTAAAAGTTTGATCACCCTAAAACAAGTGTCAATCAAGTAGTGTGCTGAGCAGATTACAAAAGCAGCTTCATGTCAGATAAGAAACAGAATCATTTGATTAATGAAATCGAGACGTATTCGATTACAACTGGATTTGTCTTGACTGACGAATGAATCGAAGTTGAGTCTTTTCACGAACATTGTTCAAAAACCTTCGCTTTTATATAGATCACTTTACTTTTTTAAACGAATTCACTCCACCACCTCGTACTCTAACGCAACGCGAACAAACAAAGTTTAATTCCACAAAAAACATTTGCGTTCACAATTCACGCTCTTTTCTCGAGCGACTCGAAACATATGAAATCGGCAAATCATATCATATGTATTAGTTCCGTTCATTTTCATTTAATCACATAATCTGATTAAACTTCACAAAGGCTGATAGATTTGATGCGATTCAACCATAACTACATTCTGAACCAATTACTTTTCGTAGTAACGTCAAACTGGGATTTCAGTATCATACACTAGATTCTGATTAGTGCGTTGAACGGGTAGCCACTGATGACTGACTGTATGGTCGAAGATTATCTCGAACTGCAAAGCGCTTAGTCAATTCGATTATCCGACTAATACACTTAACGGTTTGTTTAACGCACTCTTTCTTGTGTACAAATAATTTCGAAATCAGTTGATGGAACCTATTACAGTGCATTCAATTTAAGGAAGAGATAATGTTATAGAGGTTCGATCACCTGGTAATAACTGAATGATTCGAAACATTTTCTGAGGTTGTTCAGACAACAATCAATATATTTCAACGGCATTTTGACCACATATCCTAAGGAAATGCGGCGATTGTAAAATAAAATGGCAATTGCTGGAAATATACGCGTTATAAAAGCAATGCGTAGTGAGTGTTCACGAAACAGTTTTTTCATTAAATGATTCATAAGACAAACTTCTAACTTCAAGGTTGATATTCGTTTTTGCTTCATTGTAAACTCAGCGTTTATAACAACACAAAAAATTCGAATGCACTTTATCGAAGCACGAAACTACTTACTAAACAATTTTTAGATCGTCACAGAATTCGGAAAGTGTGCTGTGATTCTTGAACGACTGCGATGTGACAAAGAAATTACAATTTGGTATTGGTTTCAGTTTACTGGTTTGTATTTATTATTAGTTTACTGCATTTATTACTGATTTTGTATTTGTATTTATTTATTGTGCTTATAATTATTTATTATCGGTTCTATGGTTTATTGGTTTGTAATGGAATAAATTAGCTTATAACATCACTTATTTGAATGTTGTTAACAAATTAACGTAACCCCAAAACAGATCTGAATTGTTGGTGGAAGATCCAGGAAGAGCAAAAATGACAATGATAATGACGGTACAAATAACGATAACAATGACGACTATAGTGTTATCTAAAGGATGAAGAAAATAAGACAGATATGAGGAAGGAGTCAAAGGCACAAGAGTGAGTTGGTATGGAAATGCACGTTACACAACCAGGAACAAAGCATTTATCCGTCTATTGTATAGCTGGTTCCTCCCACTTCGCTATTTTTTAATGTTCGATCGACAAAAAAATTGCTGATTAATAACGGTAATTTACAAACTAATAACATTAATCATATTGTTGGTTCACAGCTTAATCGGCAATAATCTTCAGTAGACATGTTCAGTCAGCTGAAAGGTAAGCCGAAATCAGCTGAAACAATGAGCATAATTCTACTTGTACACTTTGATTTGAGTGAAAGTACTGATGTAATTGTGATTTGTCTCGGATAGTTCAAAAAAAAGAAGACACTTTTCTAAAATGCCAATAAATTTCGAATTCCTCACTCACAAAGAAATCAAATCGAACGCAGAACTCTCAATATAAACTCAATTTAAACAAAACGTTCACAAAATGGAAAGTTACATTCATTAATCATTGACACAATAAGATTCACAAACGAGAAAAAAGTTCGCTGGAAAAACATGGGATATTAGTTGACTTCATCTAATAAATCGATACCGGTGAATCAAATGAACAAACGTGCGATCGAATCAAATATGCCACTCGCTAAATCAATTTTTGAAGCGGTGAACATTCAAACAAGACCGATGCTTGCCACAGAGCATTTATTGCATTCAATTAATTTATTAATGCACCTTTGCTGAACACTGTCAAACCTTTCATGTGCACTTACCTTTACACTAATGGTTCGCCGCGTTGAAACGAACACAAAACAAGTGGGTTGTAAGAGTTGTAAGACTAATTTGGGTACGTTTTCTTCTCGTCAACATTCAGCAGTTTTTTCTCTTCTTCTTCGTTTCTCTTTTATTGACCTCGACTCTTTATTCTATCTTATCCGGTAACAAAAGATTGAGCAATCATCATATTATTACTTATTCGCTAGATCCGCAAACTCTACAAATCACATCCCACACACAAACAATTTAACCTCGAAATTTCCAAGAATCGCGAATTATTTCAGTTCACTTCTTTCTTATCAAAGAAATTTTGTTAAAGAGATGGCGAATTCTCTCAGAAAACCTCAGAAAATGAGCAACTGTTTTTTGATAAAATCGGTTACGAAATTATGACCAAGTCGATGACCTCAAAACAACGACTTCAAATTTTCCTTGTGGCATCTATAAATCATCAAAAAGAACACTTTTCAATGGATTCTTGATCTTCTTCACTGTAATCGCAATCGACCGAAGAAAAAAACTCAGAATTTCTTGCATCTTTCATGAAATCGAATAAGAAAGCACGTCAAGGTCACGAACGCCGGAAAGCTGAATGAATCTCTTATGGTAGGAATTGTTAATGAATGAATTTTACCAGATCAGAAGAAGATCTCAAACTAGACGCTTGATATTCTTAAATGTTGATTGTCTTAATTTGCCGAATATGATTGATGAAGATCATAAGAATGATTTCGACTGAAACGTACAGTAATCTTTATTGGATGAGTGATGAGAAAACGGGTCAAAAAAAGGTGTGACCGCCCACCATATCTGCCAATACCACTCAGTATTCTTGATCGAAGGGGTTGTCCTCTGCCATCTAACACGACCCAAGTTACAGAATCGAGAGTACGATTTTAAATAAGATGTTGAAGACCAAACAAAGCTTTCACAGACACAGTAATCGCAAAAGCAATGGGAAATAACATGAATTTTGTACTCACAATAATAAGCTGATGACGGTTTGAAACAAGAAGAGTAACGAACAGGTATATGAAAATAGGCATGAAAAGAAGTGATATGGCGAATGAATCAATGCAATATTACGACAAATCAACAGTATCATACACAAAAATTAGGCGCAGCAATACAAGGCTTGTTACCAGCCACAGTAAACAGCTTGGGTCTAGCAGCGATGCAAATGCAAACGCGCATTGCGTCGATTGACGCGGTTAACGATGGCGAAGAACTGATCGGCAACGATAACCAATTACTTCCGATGTACATCTTGCGAGCTGAGAACAGCATCTTACCGTCTTTCTGAAATTATTTCAATTAATATTAGATAGGTGAGTATATCAGTGGTTCTTAAACGTTCAGTTAGATTTTTTGTTGAAAGCATTTCCATTTTTGTGCCATATTACATAATAATTAGAATCCTGAGCAAGTATATAAGAATCCTGAAGCGTGCTTATTGCTCTATAGGAAAACAACTATTGGAAAACGAATCTGCAATCATTTGGATACAGGCATAATTCATAGTGAGAATATCAGCTTTGTTCTCTATTGAATGCCGAGATTCATAAGCTGCTCGCTAGGTACGGACGACTAGTTCAGTACATCTTTAATCAAAACAGATTCCCTTGTGTGTCCTTTCGGATACAGATTCCAGCCTACCCTCACGTCATCATAATCAATCCCCCGCTGTTTGAATGAATTAATTTATACAAGCTAAATATCCCAGCAACATATAACGTGGTGTAGGCACTGAATAAAGTCAATATCTTTGGTAATGGTTGTGCTGAAATAATGAAAACAGTTCGTGTAATCGAATGAGGGTTAATGCGAATAATTTCGATAGAAATGTCGGAATCAAAGACGTGATCAACTCAGATCACAAATCAGCAAACATCGAAAGAGTTAACGATATAACCAAAGCTGAAAGAATGAGTTATTTGGGATGATTTCAAACAAAAGATCGAAAGTGAATTGAAAGTTCTCGATTGTAACTCATTGCGTAAAATTATCGCTTTTCTAGAATTCATTTGATCAACACATCCTTAGTATCAGTCCATAATATTCATTGTCAACATTCCAAGTGAGTCCTTCTATTGAATTTACAGTACGACGAATTCTTATCCAAAAACCAGAATGTGACTCCCAGATAAACGTAACAATTATTTTAGAGCCTTTTGTAGCAACTGACTTATCCCTTAACAATATCGCAATTCGTTTTGATCCTTCCAAAATAAATAAAATGTTTGGATGAAACATCAAAATTTTTTCGCGATTTGTATTTTCAACCAATTTATCAAATACAATACAGATATCGTTCGGACTGGTAGAAGATTTATTTAAGAAAGCAGTTCAACGGTCTGTTTCATCTCTTATTAATATTTATTGGGATGCAGGTCTCTGGCGAAGGAGGGGAGGGGTGGGGGAGGAATATCAGCCATAGAATTCGGCCAAGAGAGGGACTCCGTCCATAATTTCGGAAACTAAGTTATCAGGGAACAGTTATCTGAAGGATACTAGCTCTAACGGCGCCGATTCTGAATAACTGATTATGTTGAATGAAATGATAAATAAGACTGCAAATTAGAACAGACTGATGTTCGCAAAATAATCGATGTTTTTGCAGTGGCGTTGAATCGCTTCGCCTCCATCTTAACGCCCTCATTTCCTCGGACACTCAAATTAATCACATCCACATTGAGATTTTCGTTGATCGGTGACCGAATCTGAAGTACGGCTAAAAATTTGAAACATCTTTTCACGAATGTTCAACTATGATTTCCTATGGTAACTGTTCAACATGTCAATGAGACTGTTGGTTCATCCAAAGCAAACTGAACACTCAGATCCGTGGCTCTCACTTCCTCGCGTTCTTCTCCCACCTTACATGTATGTTGGACCGTCATTTCTTCCTTATGGAGGATATATCACAATCAATCACCGTGAGCAACTATAGACGTAAAACCAGGAAAGTCAATCGCGACTGATTTGTCACCTTCCTCAACACTTCGCTAATCTCTTTAAAATGCTCTTCCCTACAAGAATCACTTATTTCGCACTTCAAATGAACGACAATTGATCATATTCCATTGTCAATGTTATCATAAAAATGCTGTAATATTGTGAACGTTTGAAGTGCTTCGTTAAAAAAAATTTCATGATCGAAAGAACGATGAATAATGCTTTTTGTACGGAAATACAACATTTGTATTCGTGCAGACGAAATGATTGATGTTTAAACGTTCGAATTGTTATGGGTATATGCACAAAACTTACACTGTCATTACAGTAAATCAGAGTGAATTATCTAATATCTATTTCATCACAATCAATGCTCGCACAACAAACGCACTCAACGAATCATTTATCATCTTTTCGATATTTCTCCGTTCTCGTTTCCGGTTACTTTCATTCAGAAGAAATCTTTTGCAATGAACTCTTTCTCAAATTCTACCATTCCATCATGCAATAAATACTTTTTGTCTCTCCCACCTCAGCAGTCAATCATTTTGCATGTTGATATCCTTACTTATTTAGTCATTCATTTTAATCAATATTCAAAACTCTATTTTATTATTGTACACATGCATTGACTGAATGATTCAATAAACGATCATATGAAAACACTTCAACTACATGGTCTTACCGAACTAAAAAAAAGATCATTATTTGAATACAATTTTTGTTTCATCCCTTTTCCGTTGATAACCCAAATCCCATCTCTTCGAAAATCTCGTCCAATCAGTTTGAGCTTTTCCATTTTCATTCCTGTCCCTTTATCGTTAAAAATCCGCGGTTTCCAGCGAGTCAATCTCGTATACCTAACGAATTGATCTTCGTCGAAACTGCACTATTTCTTCCATCACCTCGGTTACAATGCATCTACACAAACAAAGCTTACAACAACGGTGCATCTCTGAATTTAGTTAGCGATGTCGCATGTTCACACTTACGCTAAACGCATTGATAGTCGACGATGACACTGCGATTGATCAATTCGAATCGGTAAAATACTCAAGATGAACCTTATTTGTGACAATTTGTTCGGTTGATATCTTCTTGACACGACTATCTATCGTGAACATCGGATGCTGAACACTGAACAACGGTCGACTGCTGTCTTTCACCTACAACAAACAATAATTCAATTTGCACATTATCTCATCAATGATCAACACTGCGTACCTTGAGTTCTTCAGTGCAGCTGACAACATACACATGTACTTTTGGAGAAGGTTTGCAAATCGAATAAATTACTTACGATGAACTGGTCGACGTTCTCAAAGCGGCAAATACCCTCTTGTAATAGAAATCGAGTTCCATCTTTCAAACCTCTGATAATCACCTCAAATGATCGCTTTTCTTTAAGGATTTTTTGTTTCAATGTCTTCTTTCAGAGGCCTTTCAATGACTTTTCCAAATCGAATACTCCTTTTATGATTTGCTGATCATACCAAAACCGTAAATTTTTGCAACAATCGTGAAACGCATTTCGGCTTGAAGAAGAATATGATGAAATACGCAAATTGAAGCTCGATAGTCAATATAAAATGTAATAATTGCATGGAATATATTTGACACCTTGCAATTCAACTGACTGATACCACTAAAAGACTGATTCGAGTGAGCAAGTTTATGGAGATTGATGTCTTCATTTACCTCACTTTATTATTATTTTTTGGTAGTTTGTTCTCCATTGATGAATGGAACATGAGAAAATGAAACGAACTGAACGAATGTGATGATGAATTGTGAAGAAATGAAAGCGAAACAGAATGAGACAAACCCTGGAGCCGTGCACATTCAGATCCTTTCCAACTGCGCCGTGCACTAGACCCGATTTCGCTACAACTTTACCCAAGTGTACGTTGTTTGCAGTAAACTGTACAACACTTTCCTCTCGATCGGTTCTTGTGTCGTATCTCGTATGGAACTGCATCAATTTCATGCCACGTGTCGACATATCCAGCACTTTTATTATGAACATATTCATCTGAAATCTCATCGTTACATCTTGAACACTGACCTGAGAATACTATAGTGCAAGCATGATAAACTTTGACATTTTCCAGCCGCATGCCAAATTGAGATTTTCCGAATGTCTCGAGTGCCCGATATTCACGCAACAGGAATAATACCAACTTTCCATAGCATCGGATCTCTGCACGGATTCAACAAACAACACTATGAAAATATTTTAACTACATGTTCTCACCTAACTAAATAAGATCATCATTCAATTGCAGTTTTTGTCATATCCTTTTTCGTTTGGTAACCTGAACCCTATCTCTTCGAAAATCTCATCCTATCCGTTTCAAAATATCAAACAAT